GTGCAGACTGACTGACATTCGGTTTGAATTTATTACAGAATGTGCCCACCTACATGACTGAAGTTTTCTGTCCAAGAACTGGGCTCCACTCGTATTTCACCGTGTGACTCACCGTGTCGTTTAAATTTGACAAGGAAATCTCTCTGAAGGTTTTCTCATGTTGTAGTAGTGTTAAGGGGCAAATGATGTGCGAAGGGCTGAACCTCTGACTGGGCAGGTGGGTGGGCTTGTTGTGGGGAATTCCCTCACAACACTGGTGGAACCGAACACTGTAGATTCATTGCTATAGAAGAGGGGACGGTTAGAGAGACATCATCCAAGGTCAGCTGACTGGTGGTGAGACGCGGAATGTCTTTTGTCGCTTCCGAACAGTGACGGTGGTTTTACTGCTAGTAGAGAAAACTGAACCCTCCACGCGGCGGCTGCGATACTCTCTTGTCTGTCCATCATCTCTATATGAATGAGGAAGTTGTGTGTTCTACCTTTGTGTTTTATTATCTACTTCTTGAAAGTGTTCCAGGTTACTCGTGGTCCTCCTAGGGGGAAGTCACTGCCTGTGTCCTGTATAACAGTTTAACGTTTCAAGCTGGTGGATTGTTGAAGGGGGGCGGGGGGGATAGTTTGCCCTTTCTGCTGGTGTGCCAAAGTTGAGAGTAGGGTGTGCGTTTTGTGGAGTGAGACGTCTTATTGGGAGGAGTGGCGTTGAAGTAGTGTTCTAGTGTTTTTTCCTTCTCAGGTTTTCAATGACACCTATTGAGGATGAAGTTTTTCAGGTTGCCATTTTTATTGTGTGTGATGATAAGTAATAAATATGACATGGAGTGTGGTGGCGAGTGTGCACCCTAGGTGAAGGTGTATGTGCTCTCTTTTGTGTCCACGGCTCTTGTGTACAGAATAGTTTCTTTCAGATCTTGGTTTTTTAAAGCAACCACTTTTCATGGCTTTACAGAGCATGCTTCTGAAATGTGAGTGTTGTTTTTGTATATGAGTATGCATCATCAACAGCTTTAACAGGTCGTTTGTAGACCTATAAGTGATGCTGTCTAAGGTATAATTGGAAGTATGGCACTAATATTGAAGTGCTAAAATAGTAGTAGAGTAGTTATTTATAGCGCTTGAGGGGGGGTGGGGGGTGCCTAGTAACACTTTTGTATTCTCCTGTGACTGCTTTTATATATTCAGAGACTAGTGTCAGAAATACAATAATAAAGGGGGCATTAGGTCTGTGTGGTGAGCTAAACTTTCTTTCAGTCAACCAGGAAGACGACTCGATTCTGTTTATCTTTGACCACATGAGCAAAATATGATGGTAAAATGAAAACCTCTATGTTGTGTGAAAATTTGTTTTTATGAACTAGCAATATCAAATAAAAACTGGTGTTGATCGGAGTGGATTCTTGCAAACTTCGAGGTGGGGTGGTCGGTTAAGATTGACACACATGTTTAAGACTGGTACGTCTCGATTTTACGTTCTGACGTGTGCCTCAGCGATGGGGAGACTTCATCGCTGAGAGAGAGAGAGAGAGAGAGAGAGAGCAAAAAAAAAGCATATCTTTTGTTCCGTGTTTTTTTGTCTAATTTTAGATGTTGTGATGGATAGCGTTTTCAAGGACTAGTGATTACTTCCTTAGAGGGTTTGTTTCATTTTTTAAATTTGTTTTTTTGGTGAGTTTCATTGAGTTTGGTTGTTTATTTTTAATGAAAATGGAGTTGTTCTTTTTTTTTTCTCTTTCTCCTGTGGTAGAGACTGGCTGGTGCACTGACACGCACAAGGCTGGCAGTCTGTCTCTACACACATACACACATCTCCTACACACCTCAATCTACATTTGTTTCTAACAAAGGTTCATATTACAGAAAAACAAAGTACTGACCCTATTTTTGCCTTATGTGTTTGAAGAAAAAATTAAAAGTCCTAGAAACATGTACAATTTTGTTTTGGTCTTCCTCTCTTTTTTCTGGCCGTGAGATGATTTCTGAGATATAATCGTGATAAATGTAGAATAATGCTTAGCCTTTGTCTTGGTTTTAAAGGACCAGTGTGGGTGCTTGGCAGGTGCTCTGGTGTGGTTTGTTTCTTCTTTCCTATCAAACATCTATCGTCCTTATCTTCCCTTCTTCTTTTTTATGTTTGTTACTCTCTTGTAACACCAGTAATCTTCTGGCGCTCAAATGACCTTATGCAGTTGCGAGCGCCATAAAACCCCTACTAAAACTAAAAGGACCACTGATCTTGGTAGATTTTGTGACCTTTTTAGTCTGTGGACTCCAGGAATACATGTACATGTATTTGTTCAGTGAAGTCGGTTTATAAGTGGCATGCAGTGTAATAACTTTAATAAGGGCTTTGGTTGAGGTTCTTCTGACACGTTGGCTTAGGATTTGGGTGAAAGTTAGTGCCCTACTAGATGTGGTGAGAAATGCTGAAACCAAGAGAGAAGTCCCCAAGCTGCACACATCTACAAATGGAAGTGGAGCTTTTGAATGCTCAAAATGTAGCAAATTTTTATCCCTCAGAATTGGTCTCTTCCACCATAGCAGAGGCCACGTAGTAGTAATTGGTGGGTGCTCTGGTGTCGTTTGTTCCTTCTTTCCTATCAAACTTCTACTTCCTCATCTTCCCTCCTTTTTTGTTTATTGTTTATCACAAGTAGTACTATTTTGTTGTAACACATCTAATCTTGGGCACTTATACGACCGTAATGTGTTGCAAGTGCCGTAAAACTCCTACTACTGCTAGAATTAAAAGAAGCCACTTCATTGTAACCTTTTTTTTTTTTCGCCGAATATTTTTTTTCTGAGGATGCATTGGTCGTCGTCCGACAATGTCGGGCGAATTATTCCTATATTACTAGTAATATGGACATGAGGAAAAGTGGAAGCTGGATGAGGAGACAGTTTAGATTGTTCAGCCACATAAATATATATATAAGAACAACCAATGGACTTGAGAAATTGCTACTATGAGGAACGATGGAGGGAAAGAGAAGCTGACGTTGACGGAGATCAACATACACAGATGGCCTAAACAGGTTTATAATGATAGTTGATAAACAACACAATATAAGAAAACCAGGAAGATAGGCAACAGGGCGGAATGCGGTACCCATGATCGTAAATGTCTGCTCCAGATCTTACGCCTGAAGTTGAAGAAGGAAGGGTACCTTGTGTTACAGTTACAGGGCTGAGTCATTTGACAGAACAAGGAGAGTCAGAACTTTGAGAAGATATCAGGGTGACTAGTAGTAGTCTATTCAAATTATCCCATGCAGTAATCGATCCCTTTTCCTTCGGAATTTCCAACACCACCTCTCTCCCAAAGGTCTGGTCTTGCAAAAGAACAAGGTAGAGTGTAGAGGATAGGTGGACCCCGTGGTGTAACTAGGGAATATTATTATTAGTTTTACGATAGGGGGACCCCGGAGTCAACGTAGTGAAATATGTTATAGATAGGTGGACCCGGGCTGGGTTCATTGTAGTAAAAATAATTTAGGACAGCAGGGACAGCTTGTAGATCCTGCTCCTCCTTCACCAGCTGGTGAAGGAGGAGCAGGATCTACAAAAGCTGGATCAACTGATTGTAGTTGTAGAGTTGCAGTGCTGTTTTCCTTTCCATCTCTCTATATAACATTGCCAAACTGCCACCTGGCTTTAAAAAACAAATTATAGTAGAGGGTTTTACGGCGCTCGCAACTGCATAAGGTCATATGAGCGCCAAGGGGTGGGTGTCAACAGAGAAGTCTTTACAGGGAATCAGCCTTACTCTGCTCACCTCTCTAGCTTCAACAGCACAAGGTCTGCTTCGA